TAATGCTTATTATTCATTCTGTTCCTTCTTCTATTATTCCTTCTTCTATCCCACCAGGACTCCGACGTATCTACACATGTTGCCCAATTCTGGGCCTTTATTTGTTCTAATGACTGAAGATTAGTGCCAATCTTGTTGATTAACACTGATATTTGGATTATTATTGTTATTGTTGCTGTTTTTATTATGTTATTGTATTGTATGACCACTTTTTATTCATATCTATATATTTATCTGTTTCTATCTATCTGCTTTACATATTTGACAAATACTGCATTTTGTGGCTTAAAGACCATAGTAAAAGGTTCAGTGATTGACTTCAATGCTTCCAGCTATTAAATCTGCACTATTGCCAGACTTAATTCAAATTTTCAACACCAACGCCATTGAACAAGTGGTAGTAACAAAGAGCCATTAATGTTTTGGCCAGCACACCATCCCTGTGGTCATGTAATCACAATCCAGTGGCTTGGCAACCTACATGGATTTCTGACCACTGCCTTGTGCCACAGTCAAGTGATTGTGATTTGTGACCTTTCCTGCTAGCTTCCCACAAGTAAAGTCCATTGAAGTCTTCCCAAATGTTTCTGGAAGTCAGAAACACATGAGGTCCTTGCTTAACGACCTATGCAATTTCCTCCTACTTTCCAGAACAGCTTGTTGTGCTAGAAGTGTAGGGAAGTGTTAAAACCACAAAGGTGCTTTGTATGGATTCAGCAATTTTGGTTAACATCATGTCCATTGAAGCTAAATTCCATTTCTTATAATAAAGTCTCTTTGTGTGAATAAATGTACACATGTGAACAAGAAAGTGCAGGCACTTGACATTATTTACAACTTAATTCACAATGCCCAAGGGATTTTCCTGTTTAATGGCTGAAGAATGACCTCTGCTTCATTAATCTTCTATTCAATTCTCATAGCAAAAGCATCTCAGGAAGGAAATGTTTGTACAGAATGACAACAGGAAAATGCAGAAAGTGCCTCTGGATTTTTAGCTATTGTGATCTGCTCCAGCCTCCTATGAAGGGGAGCAAAAACATTAGAAAGTCCTTTCTAAAGCCAGACTTGTTTCCCAAAATAAATGCATTTGTGAATCAATGATAGTGAGTCTTGCACTGAGATTTAAGTACTGCCGACTGAGCAGGAGAGTTCCAGAAACCAATTTGAGACCCCCCCCCCCCAAAAAAAAGATGGTGATCTGACTGCACTAGCTGTTCCTTTGCTGAATAGTGACTGGTATTTGCCACCTGTAACTAAAGCATTATAGATTATATGTATCATATGCACTGTTGGGCATAGGCAGGAAGGCACACCAGGATTAGCAAATGCATCTGGTCAATATAAATCAGGGCAGTTAGTGACTAACACAGTGTTTCCCAACCTTGGTGATTTCTAGGTTCATGGACTTCAGATTCATGGACTCCAGACCTTTCATTCATTAGCCATGTGAATGAAAGTGGAATTCTGGGCCTGGGAATGGCCAATGTTAGGACACAATGGACTAACACAATGGCCTGCATGGAGTTTTTGGCCACAGTCATGAGTCTTGATCTCTCATACACACTTTTTGAAAGGTTTGAATTTGTAATTTGATATCAATCAAATCTGGAGGAGCAGAAGTCCTAAAAATATGCCAAAATTGCCTATAGATATATTGAAAATCAACTGGGACATGAAGAATCCTATCTAGTTTTGTTACATAAATTCCAAAGATTGGATCACAAGCTGTTATTCAATCACATCCCACTCCCCGGCCCAAAAGTTGTTTAATTTTGGCAGCAATAGATGCACAATCAGAAGGAAAAATAAGTCTGATTTTGAAAACTTATCTTACCCAACCAACATAGGACCAAAATCAAGATAGCTAAGAAGTTGTTTGCTGCCCATTTGCTTAAATAAAAGAAACAAATGTAGGGTGCTCATGATAGTCAAACCATGGAGGAAGCATGTAGAAAGCTGGGTAAGGAGACAGAAGTCCAGTTAAGTCTGGCAGCTGTGTATAGATGGTAGTTTCTGAAAAAATGGAGGCTCTTTTATGAGTGATAGCTTATTTGGGAGCAAGGCCTACTTGTAAGGAAGTCAAGGGAGGAAGGAAAAACCAATAGAAGAGAATATTTGTAGCTCAAGATTGAACTGTGAGGCCCTTGTTGCTCTCTGAGCTTGGATGTTTGCTAACGGTGATGATGTTACCTTGTTTGGTAATGAAACATCTGCAAGAAAACAACGAAGCTCATAGTGAGGAAGGAAAAATGTTTGGCTTAAAAAAAGAAAGGAGAACCAAAGGTAATTAAGAAGGTTCTTATTTCTCAGAAAAGGTATAGCGGGAGCAACATCTCTCCCCCTAAGGATTCACCATTTATTCTTATTTCTATCATGTGACTTTTACCCCTCCATTATTTTTATCAATTATCTTTGTTATAAGGAAGATGATGCTTTCTACCTGTTAATTTACAGCGACCATTCAATCACAAATGTTTTTCAACACATTCTTCAGCACAGTATATACTATGCATGTCTAAGTGAGAAAGTTAAATAGGAAAAATAGAGGAGAAAAAGGTCTATCAAAATTGCCATCTCTCTTTCCTTTGGTATCCCTATGCAAATTGTATCACTCTGGAAAAAAAGAAATCCAGACATTATTTGATTTTTAAGGCAATGTTTTTTTAAAAGGGGGTACAAAAAAGGTGATTCTGAATGAAAAGCACCTGATTTCACAGAAACTCTAGCAAAAAGAGCGTTGTCTTACCTGAACGCCTTTTCTCAGCATGATGACGTAGCATCCACCAATGGGTTATCATAGCCTTCCTGCTCAGTTGAGACTAAGCCAGAACTTTAGCCACGCCTCCTCTGGGCAGTTCCTTCCCAGTTCTTGATGAGGTGAAGCACACCTGACAAGTTCGACGCAATGGCTCCCCACAAAACTACACCTGCCTAGATTGTTGCAAAAGGGCGGGTGTGGATGCTACGTCATCATGCTGAGAAAAGGCGTTCAGGTAAGACAACGCTCTTTTCTCCAATCATGATGACCGTAGCATCCACCAATGGGACATACCAAAGCTACGTGTCCCCAGGGAGGGAAATCTAGGCATGTGTGTCCCGAGAAGAAACTACCTGTTGCAAAACCCTCCTGCCAAATGAAGCATCCGCAGCCGTGAACTTATCAAGCCTGTAATGCTTGATGAAAGAGGAGGAAGAGGACCAAGTCGCAGCCCTACAGATCTCCTCCATGGAAGCCTGGGTAGACCAAGCCGCTGAAGTGGCCGCGCTACGTGTGGAATGAGCAGTAATGCGTGCGGGAACCGCTAGAGACTGCGACCCATAGGCGTGAGCGATGCATGCCCGAATCTACCTCCCAATGGTGGAAGATGACACCTTCTGTCCCATAGAAGAGGGCTGAAAAGAGACAAATAGAGCCTCCGATTTGCGGAAAACCGCTGTCCTCTTAATATAACAACGCAGAGCCCTGCGTACATCCAAGGTATGCCAACTCTTTTCCAGACAATGAGAAGGGTTGGGACAGAAGTCTGGAAGAATCAAATCTTGGGACCTGTGGAACCAGGTGTTCACTTTCGGAATGAAAGAGGGATCCAAACGAAGGACCACTCTGTCCTCCCAAAAAAAACACAAGTCACTCCTGACCGACAACGCGGCCAGTTCAGAAATGTGCCTGGCCAAAGTGATAGCCACCAGAAAGGCAACCTTCAATGAAAGGAACCTAAGGGAGCAAGACCGAATGGGCTCAAACGGCGATCCCGTGATGGCTTGCAACACCATAGGTAGGTCCCACGAGGGAAAGCGGTGTACCCTAGGAGGTGCAGTGTGTAGGGCCCCTTTCAAAAAGGCCAGAACAGCATGGTGCTGTAATAAGGGAACCAGGTTGTCACACGCGAGGACAGTAGATAAAGCTGCAATTAATTCAATAGCCTAGCTAAGGAGCCAAAATACTTCCATTCCAACTGAGCTGAGACTAAGCAAGAACTGGGAAGGAACCGCCCAGAGGAGGCGTGGCTAAAGTTCTGGCTTAGTCTCAACTGAGCAGGAAGGCTATGATAACCCATTGGTGGATGCTACAGTCATCATGATTGGAGAAATGTGCAACATTGAATAAAATTGCTTTTCATGAATTTCATCCCACAACATTCACAAACATCTATAGCTTAAAATATAAAGTGAAAGAGAAATAAAGAAAAACTTAGATTACATTATTTAAATGTTCTATTAAGTCACCCTGGGAAAACTTTTGATTTAAAGGGTGGCAAAAAATTCATTAGGAAATAAATGAATTAATCAAGTTTATAACTTATAAGTTTATAAGTTTGTTTATATGTGTACTGTATTTTTCTTAAACGTTCTGGAGTCCTGACAGAAATTAGGCACATAAAGCTTACATTTTCTAAATAATAATCCAGTTGTTGGTATTAGAGAAGAATCAAGAAAAATATTGCACACATCTGGATATGGTTGGGCAAATGCAGAAAGAATTTAACATCCAGGCAAGTGAAAGAGCCAAAGGTTAAGGCATCACTCTGGTTTCAAGTTCTATGGATGTTAGGAAGGGATGAACTTGGAAGAGGGGAGGCCTATGTCCACCAAGACAATACATCTTGAGCGCTTATTGGGTGTGAGAGGGAGGTCAAAGTAGTCCTACTAATGAAATGAATGGGAATTAAGCTCCTGTACTATTTTCTTGTTAAGGCCAAGGCCTGTTAAAAGATTCACGTGGAGAATTCTGAAACTCAAAGTTAAGGACAAGAGGTTTTTCCCAGTCCAATCCAGCAAAACATTTAAGGACTGCCTTAAGGCAAGGATTATGGGAAGCATGTTTTTATTTCACTAATTTTGCCCAGACACACCCAGATGTCTGCTTCTACATTGAACATGGGGACTTTCCTTGCATTAGGCAAAGCTGGATGTTTCTCCTCACCAGAAATCTCTTAAAACTATAAATAACAAATACCAAGCCTCTATTCAGCACATGAAAGCTCAGAGGTACTCACCCTGCAAACTGGGCATTGCCAGTGACTACTGCTGTCTCTAAGCCTGAACTCATCAGATAAACACTTGGAATGATACACCCGAAAACACAGGTCACATATCAACACCTCTCCAGGCAAATGGCATTCAAAACAATACCAGTCATGAGTTTCTGTCTCCCAGTCCTACAAAAAATACAAAATAATTTGATAGAACAGTCTGTCAATATCTGAAACAGCCATGAATTTTTTAAAAAAGCACATTTCTTGAAGTCTAGCAATGGTTAGGCATTTTAAAATATGGCACCTCTTTCATGGATTATACCTTTTGTTTTGTTTGTTTTTAAATTCCGCTCTATAAGCTTGGTAATTGGTATCTGAAAGTGCTTTGCTTTTAGTTTCTGATCAATGCCAAGGCTTAAATCATGGAATGAGTGTGTCTGATTAACAGCATGAACACTCTTGTGTCATGTTCCCATGCACTGAGATCTTCCCCCCAAAAATGGTTTCTTTTCAAGATAAATTTTGAATTTCAATGAAGCCCCAATTATCTTTACATTATTAAATGAAGGCAATGGAACTCCTTCCTCTGCTTTAGGCAAATAAATTGTGATACAGGTAGTCCTCGACTTACGACCACAATTGAGCCCAAAATTTCTGTTGTTAAGTGAAACATTTGTTAAGTGAGTTTTGTCCATTTTACAACCTTTCTTGCCACAGTTGTTAAGTGAATCGCTGCAGTTGTTTAATTAATAACAAGTTGCTAAGTGAACTTGGCTTCCCCGCTGACTTTGCTTGTCAGAAGGTCGCAAAAGGTGATCACATGACCCCAAAACACTGCAACTGTCATAAATGTGAGTCAGTTGCCAGTGGCCAAGAATTTTGATCACATGACCACGGGAACACTGCAATGGTTGTAAGTGTGAAAAACGGTCATAAATCACTTTTTTCAATGCCTTTGTAACTTCGAACGGTCACTAAATGAACTGCTGTAAGTCAAGGACTACCTGTATTCAACCATTTGTTGTTCTAGTGGTCCTCTCCCAAGTCTAATCTTTTTTTTTTTTCCTGAAAAGACAAAATCATCCTCCAGACGTGGAATTCTAAGGAACATAGGGAACCTCATCAAGTGCTCATCAGATGCAGTTTTGGAAATCGGTACCCCTTTTTCTAGAGGTTTTTTTTTTTGTTTTTTGAGAGGGAAGCACACAGGAGTTGTCACTGCTATTCCACACACCAATTTGTCCATGGCAGCTGTGATGCTTCTCCTGAATGCATTGGTTTATAAGTTGATTCTACAGTGGATATTCTCTGACTAGACAGAAGAAAGAGCTTTAAAAAGGCAGCAAGAGCTGCTGAGGTCACAGTAATATGACAAAGTCCAAAGCAATGCATATTTTATTGTTTGTCCCTTTGCCTCTCTCCGAACCCCCATGATTCCTCCACTCTATTTATTTCTATAAGCACATGCAAAGTGCTGGATCATCTGCAAAGGCATGCTGAACATGTATAAAAGAAAAGTCCGTCTGTTCCTCAGAATTCACACAAGACTCCATTCTACATAAGGGTCACATAAGCAGGAAAATGTCCAGCATCACTTGTGATGTCAATTGTACTTAATGGCCAGTTTTAGCTGGAGGCTAGGAATCTAAAGGCTGCCCTTTCTCCTTTCTACTTCCAGATCACCCAAAAAGTACTTTGTCATTTGGTTTTGCTCTGATTGAATTGTATATATGTTCTTATTTCTTCATTAAAATTTGCTGACCTGCATGAGAATTTAGAACAGAACAGAGAAATATATCAAAATTGACCCATTAAACAGCTTTTCCAACCTCTAGGGCTCTGCAGCTGCATTGATCTTACAGTCTGCAGAACTCCCAACCTTTCAGAGTGACGATGGTTGAATATTCTGCAAATTATAGTTTTAATACAGACATGAGGTTATGGGAAACTGCACCAGGCCAAAGCAAAGGTTCTTGCAAGAACAGAACACTGCTGCAAATTAAATGATATAAGTTGAATGCTGACAAGTTAAAAGTTTGCAAACTTGCAGGAAGTTACAAACAGAGCAGAACAAAACACAAATCAGCTTTAAAATAAGGCAAGTTCAAGCATGATTTTGATTTCAAAACATACCTTTTGCAATTTGATTTCAATGAATCCAAATATTGAATTTTGACCTAATTTCAGTCTTGCTCAAGGTTGTGGTCCTTCAAATGTTTCAACTGTGTAAATGGAGCCTAAAAATACGATTTCTCATAACAAATGCAGGGGGGGGGAAATAAAAACTGCCTCTTTCCATCTCACTGATTTCCTATTTTTTCTCATAGTGGGCATAATCCAGCTAAATGAGCACATTTGTTAGTATCGATATTTCTAAAGAATAGAATTAATTCTGATACTCTTCAGTGGCTAATGCTCACATACATTTAGCTTTTACTGTCCACATATAAATAGTGTGCATTATTTAAAATTGAAACCATGCTAAATGAAATCTCATCTAAAAACCAACTCTACTTACTGGACAGTATCTAAGAGTTATATGTTACAAAGAAGAATGAAATAGAAGTTTTAGGATCACGTTTCTCAACTTTGGCTAAGTCCACACATTTAAGATGTGTGGACTTCAACTCCCACAATTTCCCAGCCAGTGGGCTTAAGAAACACTGTACTAGAGGCACTTTTCTACTGTAGGCCAAGCAGCCTAATGTAACTACAAAATCAATACAAATGGTTCTTTGGGAAGATAAAATTATTAACAATCAACATATCAGCAGTTTTATGGAACACTTGAGGCCTTCTCATGCTTTGCACTGCCTTGTATAGCAAAAAAAAATTCTGAACTCATTTTGATTCTTTAAGCTTAAAAATAACTATAGAAATCATGAGATACATGTAAAGAATGTCAAAACCTGCTCTGTGAAATAAAGCACCTCGGAATCAATGTTTAGTCACAGGTATTTATATGCATTTGTAATCATGTGTGGGTTATTGGTGCATTTTATTTAGATGAATTGGGAGATCTTCCATTAGGCCAAGTAGCTCCATCCCCTATTTATAATCAATCTGAGTCCAATCTAAAATGACCAAAAACTTTTTCAAGCTTTTTCCAGTTCCGTTGTAACTGAGACCTACAGGTGGGAGTCTCCACAGACACAATGCATATTATAATTTTCATTGGTATTGTACTGCGAAAATGTCCTTAAATGCAGAGCACATCATCCATCACAAACCCAAACAATTCTGAGGTGTGTCAGGGGACATATTTAAATGATTATGAATGCCAGATTCTCACATTTTTGGGATAAGTAAACTACCATGTATGTTAAAATAAAACCCTTCCTAAAAAATGTTTTATATTGAAATATGTTGTTTTTAAAATCACTAGACCCATTTGGAGGTGTCAATTCATGATATTTGATATTCAATTTTTGTGTTCATCCTTTGAAATAATGTAGTTTCCATTCCTATAGAGATATGTTGTATATGAATGCTCACTACTTCCACATGTATATCTACTTTGATATATAAACATACAAAAATATTAAGTTTGATAATGAGTTTGATGATGTAATAGTTACATAGAACTCATAATTTGTAAGCTGGTCTTTTATATTTCATCTTCCTTTTCTTGCTGATTTCTGTTCATCAATTAATCCATTGCAAGATACATTCAATTTATAGAACTTAAACTTTTTAGTCAAAGTTCATTTCAGAAAAAAGGCAACATGAGTGTTTTAAATTATTGGTTGCATTTTTTACCAAAGACTACCAGAATATTAATTTTAATTAACTCTTTCATTTTGTGCTCCTTTCTTCTTCTTCTTTATGAAAATTTATTATCCAGAGAAAAAAACCACATTCATGGAAAAGAAGCAATTATGAAATAAAAGATTTTGGCATAATTCCATGACAAATCTTTTATATTAAACCAACTGAAATGAAAGGGAACTACCAGATATTTTGCTGCTCCAGTTAATTTCAATGGGATTTCCATATGAGGATTAGTTAATTATATAAAAAAGCAAAAAGTTGAAATAGTCCACTGTGAAATCATTAATATGGTATAACTAATAGCTGACATTTATGTCTTCTTGCTGTGCTGCATCTTAGCATCTGTAACTCCAAGCACATTTATTACTTTTCTCTTTAAGTTTAATGATTTATTTATTGTGAGAGGTTTTTTGTGTGTATTTAGACGTTTGGTCATATTTTTTCCTGTAATTGATATATAGGATTTATTAAAAATAATAACTCCAAATTTTCATAAACCGGATCTGATTATTTCTGATAGGAGATGCAAACTCTGTTGTATAGCTTGCCTGATGTACTAAAGCTGACCTTGTCCATTAGGCTGAATGGACAGTCTTTCAGTATTCACTGAATGATATTAACTGATTGTAAAGTCAACTCTAAAGTCACATCTCAAGTATAAAACAGTGAAGCTTATGCTATGAAATTACAATACAAACTTGGTTATCTTGCTTCACTGTGGTTAGTAACATATGCTTATGAATTGGGCAGAGTTATATTTCTAGTATAACCTCTTCTTCGATCAAAGTAAGATATTGTTTTTTAAAAAATTAAATGTAACTGAGAAAACAGAAATTTGGAAATAAAATCACAGAGGAAAATAAATTTTAGTGTTCGTGGAAAGGTTTTTCCCCCACCCAATCCATACAAATTCTGTTTTCAGTTTTGGAAAAAATAAAATAAAACCATAAATCTTTGTTTTTAAAGGCTGGTGTAAAGTTTGGACAAATACTGGAACCTTTGCAGAACCGGAGATGTACAAAGTTATCTGCCACGTAATTTCCTCAGATGAGACAGAACATTTATATAACTAACATCTGGCAGCCACTATTCTAATTATGATAAACATAAAAATTCTCAGAATACAAATATATCTTTTTCTGTATTTGCAAAGTCTTCCACGAGATGTCATCGTATCCTCCCAAAGTAACTGACAAAAAAAAAAAAAAAAAAGGAAAAGCATTGCAACTTTATATCTTGCAGCAAAACATGTGAGTGACCACTTCCAGCTCTCCAGGAAGGAGGGGGGGGAAATAGTATTTTAACCAAGGTGCTGCAAAAAGCAGGCTGATTTCAAGTACCAGTTACAACATGGCTGATAAGCATTATTAATTCCATTATTTGAAGACTAGAAAAGCAACATCTAATCTATCTTAATGTACAACACCAACAAAAAAGAGAGATGTAACAGAACATATTTAAGACTACATAGTGCAAAAGTTGTTCACCTTCATTTTTACAGTTGTCCAAAAAAAAGGCCGCATGCTGTAAGCCTTTCAAAATAAAGAAAACAAAATAAACCAAAACAAAAAAACATGGTCTATGTATTGGAACCTATGTGAGGAACATAAACTGAAGGGAAAACATCTATTACTGAGAGCATCCTAACTAATCAAATTTCCCCCAGATAAACTCTTATGGACTTCCCCCCCCCTCAAAATGTTTTCTAAAAGCACTTAACTTAATTAGGAAAACATACTCAAAGGGGAAAAAAGCAGAAGGATTAGCATTCCCAGTTAATAGCCCCTGTGAAGACAGACATGCTTATATATCATAATGTCCCACAAAAAATCCAAGAAGTGTTTTGCTTTTGATCAGGGACCTAATTGTTTCCACAGTTTGTATATAAAACCTTTTCTCATGAGTCCCCTCTCTTAAAATATAACTACCATTATTTATGGAACTACTTTTAAGCAATTCCAAAATATATATTATAATCAAAATTAGAAAATCAATTTTATGTGCAAGAGTGAAGATTTTGCAGAATCGTTTACTAGAAGACACAGAGAAACAAAAATTATACTGCCATAATAGAAAGTACTCCAGCCCTAAAGGAAATAGGAGTCATTTTATTTTCACAAAAAATTAATTATTTATTAAAAAGAAGACTGACAATTACAAAGTTCTGATATTCTGTTATCTATAGTATTCTGGTATCATAAAAAATAATCGAAATATAACAAACTTACCCAACTTCAAATGAACCTATCTTTCTAACCATGTACTGTGGTCTGGAAGGTATTTTCAACCTTGCTTGAAGTTTGCAATTATGACAGGAAACATCATTAAATTTAAGAAGGCCAAGTGGCTTTCCATCACGGATCGGGAATGTTGGTTATAAAGCCAAACCTATTTGAATTTAGGGCTTCTTCAAATTCTGCAAGACTACTCTTACATTTTATTTCTACTTTTAAATGCCATTAGCTTGGGTGTGTTTTTATACATGCCAACAACTGGATTGCACTTAATATATTTATGATTACAGAGTAAGTAAATCATTAATCTTTTCTTAAACTTAGTTCATGGGCATTGGAAAGCTATCTAATATTAATTAAAATATATCCTGTGATTATAAGAAGAGTTGATAATGCTTAAACGTCAGCAACAAAGCGATTTGGACAAATAAAAATTCCAAAACAAATAATGACGGAAATGATGATCAAAAATTTGATGTTATTTTTGGTAAAGGGACGAGAGAAGGCAAATGTTTAGAAGAGGTTCCAGTCATACAAAAGTAAGCTTTACTAAACTAAAAAACTCGCAAATCAATCCATTACAGAAGTTATGCACAATATGTTGCATCTATGTAACATTTTTCATTTCTAAACAATTTAATTATATGAACCCAAGGGATGCAAGATATATATTATTGGGACTGTACCTTTAATAAATAGAAACCTTAGCATATAATATTTAAATGTAAATGAGAAGAGAAACTTTCTCATATTCTCATGGAATTTTTTTTAAAAAACGTATTCAAGCCCTCATTAATTAAGAATAGAGTTGTGTATATTTTACAATTTATGCAATGCAAAAATTAAACTGGCTGCAGAAACTGGAAATGAGAATCTTAGTTCATTAAATCATTTTTTCATGCATAATGAAACTGTTGAAAATAAAAGACAACTCAGTTAAGATTTACATTAGTAAAGGGACAACTACATTTCCAAGCCATATAACACTTACTGGCCTTTGGGGGGACTAGTTATAGTACATTCACTATACAATCTGAGCTAACACATGAATATTCACTTGATTTATATATCAGCTTTTCTATGTGAAGAATTCTGACTAACTGCATGCGGTAGAAAATATACACAACTCTGATTACATGCAGTATACCTGCTATCATATATGGTATTGCTAAATCTAGTATTTCAGTTTGTTACTCTTAAATCTACAGTCTGTAGTTGTACTCAACAGCTTTATCTGGCACAATACTAATACCTAAGGATATTTAAATTAGGTGAAGAACATCTCTACTAAAATTTTCTACCTTATATATTAAAAATAGCACTTATAAAGTGCCGCTTCTCCTCTTAATTTAACTTGTAAGATCCAAAAATCTCTTTAAAAACTGAATAGAAACAATATTTTTTTTCCTGTATATGCTTGAGTTATCCATCTCTCAAGGCAACTGATTTACAAATAAATTTACATCCTAAATTTAGGATTTCATGCTTACATGACAAAATTTAATTAAAAAGAAAGTTAAAATAGCTAACTTTTTGAATCAGACATTCTATCAATAAAATAAGATTTCATAACTATTACCAACGTACTGCTATACCAAATGAAACTATAGCAATATTGGGGGCAAATTTAAAAAAAATGTAAAGTCACAGTTGATGTCTTTCTATTATATATTACCCAAACTGATTCACAGTTAATAATGCATTTCTAAGTTATTCAGAATAACTAACAATTAAAGCATTATATCTATAATCAATGTCATAAGCTTGAGGATTTGCTGTGGAAGAGGCAGGCCCCAGCTAGTGTTTGTGGCTTTTCTAAATCAACTGAAGGACAGCTTAAAGACCTGTTAATTTAACAGTATATCTTAGCCCAGTGGTTCTCAACCTTTTTAATGCCGCGACCCCAACCGGTCGTAAGTCGAGGACTAAACCGGTCGTAAGTCGAGGACTAAACCGGTTGTAAGTCGAGGACTAAACCGGTCGTAAGTCAAGGACTACCCAACCGGTCGTAAGTCGAGGACTTTCCCTGCCCGGGAGCGCCGTACATGCGTGGTTCCGCCCCCTGTGCCGGCCGAGGCGCAGCTGGCAAGCGGCAGAGACGGAGCAGGCTGACCACCAGCTGGCCCAGCCCAAGGGAGGTAAGGCACCCGCCGGAAAAGGGGAAAAAAATGGTGGACAAAAAAAATGGTGGACAAAAAAAATGGCGGACAGCCTTGCTTGGCGACCCCTATGAAATGGTCGATCGACCCCAAATGGGGTCCCGACCCATAGGTTGAGAACCACTGTCTTAGCCCATGCTAATTTTTCAGATTTATATGAAAATAAAATTAGTCATCCTAGTCTAACCCTACAAACAAAGCTTCCTAAACTTGGGCTATTTAGAAGTTTCCCTGATACCATTCCTGGAACGTTTTGCAAAGAAAAATAACTTTCCAAGGTTTTCAAAATTAAGTGCTTTCAAGTTATCATACTGAAACATGGTTGTTGTGGATTAAAGTAACAATACTTGGTTTATATTGTGGTGAAAGTGTTCCTCTTCCACTTATTTCTGAAACAAGTAACAGGATGCATATGACAAAATCTGGGTGCTGAATTTTCTCAACTGGAATGCCAAAGAATTTTTTTCATAAACTGTTTTGGACTGCATCTCTTTGATGAACACCTTAATTGCTATGCCTTGAAATTAACCTATGTCTAAAAATGTATGTTTATAAATATCTATATTCATTAGGCTGCATTTTTAAAAATACACCTCTGAAGCTTTATGCAGACAATAATTACTTTCAATCTTAAGCATTTTGTGCTCTAAAACAAAATGCTACAACTACATGAGATAATTACGAAACCATTTTTTTACCTCATTTTACCCCATAAAGCTTTTCTAAGACTACACATAAGCTGGTACTAAGAATTTCAAGTCAACACTCCAGCAAATGGTGATGGAAAGACTTGCAGAAAATATACTTACAATCTCATCCCCGGGCAGCCAGTATCCTTCTTGCTCAATACCAGCTTTTGAACCTTTGCATCCCACAGTCAAGGTTTCGACAACAAGGCCATCCTTCACTGCTAAACTAAGCTGACGTGTGGTCTCCTTGGGATGCATACCGTGAACCCGGGACATATATCTACAAAGAAAACAGAAACAAATGCTTACAAAATTATCATTAGTATCTGGATATTTTTTTGTGGTCTGAGTTCAACAATTTCAAAAGCACATAATATGGTCTGGTTCTTTTCACTTTTCTTTATTTTAATATCTCTGAATATATACAAGATCAGCTACAAAAGGTTATTTAAAACTCAACTGAATAAAAAAGAGAGAATAAATAGAATTAAAATCTATTAAAATCTTAAAAATCTAGGTCGAAAGCTACCAGAGCCAGACTACATTTTAATTAGCTAAGCAAAGAAACAACTCATTTTGGCAACACCTTTCAATGCAAAATAATGTGTAGGTCAGTGGTGGCGAATCTATGGCACACGTTCCAGAGGCGGCACTCAAGAGCCCTCTCTGCTGTTGCCCCAGCAGAGTTCGCCAGAGTAGCGAGCACAAGGAGTTTGGAAGTGACAGGGCAGGAAGTGAGCAAGCAAGCAGTGTTGGCCCCCCCGGGGATGCCCCAGAGATGGCGAGGGACTGGCCCTGGACACGCTCACCCAGTCTGCCGTGACCACTGCAGTCATGCCCACCCAGTGGGCCACACACCCCGTCCCCCGAGGGCACCACAATGCTGATGCAGCCCTGGCTCTTTGCGATAAATAAATGGGTTTTGGGTTGCAGTTTGGGCACTCGGTCTCTAAAAGGTTCGCCATCACTGGTGTAGGTCATGATGCAGATGGGATTTTTTTTCCCAAAGAAAATTCAGACTTTGCTTCATGGTAAGCTGGTGAAGGAAGGGAAGAATTGAGAAACAGCATAGTACTCTTCTTCTCATTTGGTCACTGCTTATCAGTATTAATTCACAACTGGAGATGTCATTCCACCCATTTTGAGAGCCACAGATCTAAACACAGAAGGTAAGGACTGCCAAAGACAACTAGCATAATAAATTCCATCGAAGAACAACTGTTTGAGAACGCATTCCTCTAAATCAGTTGGGATTGAAGAAAGTGGGAGCCATCAAAAATCTTTACTGTAATTTATTAGCTAGATAGCTAAAAGACAAATGGGAAACCACGAAAAGGCTACAATAATTCATAACTGAATTTATACTAGCCATGTGCTCGGTACTATCTGCTAAAGGGTTTAGAGACAAAATATTTATGCATTTAATTTTTCAGATTTTTTAGGCTACCCAACTCCAAAATAATTCTGGGATCTCCATGGAGTTCAAAGAACCAATAACACTACCTTATCATCTTATCTATCTTATGCTATCTTGTCCTTTCCTATCCTATCCAGTCTTATCCTATCTTAATCCAATCCTATCGTATCTTAATTTTATCCTATGCTACACTACACTACACTACACTACCCTATCCTATCCTAAATTAAACTAAACTAAACTAACCTTAATTTATTATTTTATTTTATTTTATTAAAAAGACCCAGCTTGGTGTAGTAGTTAGGATTCTGGTCTAAAAACCAGAAGAGTGTAAATTTCAGTCCCACTTTTGGCACAAAAATCAGCTGGTGGATTTGGGCCAGTTGCTCACTTTCAGCCCAACTCACTTCACAGTGTTGTTATTGTCGGAAAATAGGAGGAGGAAGAAATATTTATATTTGCCTCCTTGAGTTACTTATAAAATAATAAAAGGCAAGATAAAAATCTAATTAAATAAATAAAAGTTTTGCATCTTAAGCTACTCGTAGCAGCTTGCAACATCCATAAATCAGTAAATAAAACAATCATAAACAAAAAAACAAACACCCTGTGCACAATCGTCCCCTTGGGATGCCACACAGTAAGTTCAGTTACTCTCCTTCCATGCAATTCCAGCACACCAGTAGAAAGCTTAATGGCCTTGTAAAGCTTTCTAAGGTTGGGCCATTGAATTGCCAATGAGACTGGTAGGTGTGACCACAAAAAAAGCAATGCTTCTGAGATCCCACTAGATGGGAAGATTTTAAATACGGACCCTGCAGCATGCCACCTTACCTGATATAATGAGATAAGCTAATCTTCTTAGGGAAAGGCAATGCTGCAAATACCCAGGTCTTATGCCAGGAAGAACTTTAAAGTAATAAACAACAACTTGAATTGCAATCAGAAGAAAAACTGAAAGCCAGAGCAGCTCACGCAATAATAGGTGTAACATAAGCAAACAAATGTACACCCAATACTATGTGCACTGCTGCATTCTGGACAATTAAAACTTCCAAGTGGTCTTTGAAGACAGCTCTATCTAAAAAGCACATTGCAATAATTCAACCAGGTGGTGACTAAAGGGTGAGTGACAAGGCCTCCAGTCCAGGAAAGGGAGCAATTGGTGCATAGGACAGTCTATAACTTCCTCATCAAGCAGGAACTGTAAATGCATACCAGCATAGTCTGGGGCAGTGCAACTATCACAACCTCTCAGAGCCCTTATAAACAGCCACATTCAAAATACTTTCAACCAGACACTTTCAACCAGACACTTGTTCTTTAGAATGTACTGAGACTCAGTGAATTTATAAAATAACAGCAAATCTTTACTGGTTACAATATATAGTATATATTTAATAAT